GGCATAGCGTAGAAATTTAATATTAGCAATAAAAAAATAATTTTAAGGAAGCAGCTTTGGAGGGTCTATTTTAGATCCTTGAAGTTATAAATTGTTATATTTGTCGTCACTTAGTATTATACAGGGTGTTCAAAAAACTGCTGAATACTTCTCTCAACTTTAAACAGCAATAACTTGGTTATTTTAAATGGAACACCCAGTATATTTTTACTTTGAGAGTTAGGAAATTTAAAACTCTTTCAAACTGTATATAGGTTTCCTATACCTATCTCCAACGGTATTGGAGATATTTGTGCCGTTTCGTTTTTTATCGATTTTTTTTGTAAGATGTATCCACGTGTCTCTATCGAGGTCTTTACTGAATTGGTTTGGGTTCTTCTTGATGACGTCTCTGTAAATATAAGGAGAAAAATGTGAATGCAAATACATGGCACACCTGCACATTTTTCATATTCAGTGAGAAATTATATAAATCGATAATTAAGTAATAAATGAGTAGGTAAGAATGGTTCATGTCAGTGGCTACCACAGGTGTCCAAACCTCTCGTAATGGACTTCTTTGTTTCGGGCTGTATAAAAATATATCTTGTACACAGTGTTCCACCTACTACTTGCGATGATATGAAGGAAAGGATTAGATATGCATTTGCCACAATCACCCCAAATATTCTAAGGAATGTGAGAATATCATTTGAAGATAGAATAAGATGCTGTATTCAAGAGAATGGTTATCAATTCGAACATCTATTAAAATTTTTCTTTGTTTCTTCTAAAAGTAAAATTTTCTTTAATAAATATTTTTCATGTTCATAAATAATTCAGTTACTTACTACAAACATATTTATACAAAATTAATAACTTTTTATAATTATTCGGCTTATAAAATAATATTTTTTATTAGAAAACTTTTTTGAATATTTTCATGATAATGATAAAAGGAACTTTTACTTTTAGAAAAAACAAAGAAAAATTTTAATTGATGTTCGAATTGATAACCATTCTCCTGAATACAGCATCTTATTCTATCTTCAAATGATATTCTCACGCAAATGCATCTCTAATCCTTCCCTCCAATATCATCGCAAGTAATAGGTGGAACATTGTATACAAGATTTTTTATATAGCTCGCAACAAAGAAGTCCATTACGGTGAGGTCTGGACACCTACGTGGCCACTGACATGCACCATTCCTACTTATCCATTTATTACTAAATTTTCGATTTAAATAATTTCTCACTGAATATGAAAAATTTGCAGGTGCGCCATCTAATTGCATCCTCATTTTTCTCAATATATTTAAAGAGACGTCATCAAGAAGAACCCAAACCAATTCAGTAAAGACCTCGATAAAGACACGTGGATACATCTTACAAAAAAAATCGATAAAAAACGAAACGGCACAAATATCTCCAATACCGTTAGAGATAGGTATAGGGAACCTATACACAGTTTGAAAGAGTTTTAAATTTCCCAACTCCCAAAGTAAAAATATACTGGGTGTTCCATTTAAAATAACCAAGTTATTGCTGTTTAAAGTTGAGAGAAGTATTCAGCAGTTTTTTGAACACCCTGTATAATACTAAGTGACGACAAATATAACAATTTATAACTTCAAGGATCTAAAATAGACCCTCCAAAGCTGCTTCCTTAAAATTATTTTTTTATTGCTAATATTAAATTTCTACGCTATGCCTGCATTTTCACTAAAATTGAAATATCTCACAAACTGTAAGTCCTAGGTATGCAGAACCTTTAATAAAGTTCACCTATTTTTTTTACGGTGCTTCCAAAAATGCAGTAAAATACAGGGTGTTCCATTTAAAAAAACATAACTTTGATATGGTACGCTTTTCCTGGACACCCTGTATATTTCAAAATATTTTTAAAATGTAGCCGTAATCAATCTACACATACCCACATAAACAGGTTTCTGTAACATTTGCCGTTTGGTCACTAGCGACCGAGGCGTTACTGGTGGCCCACCCTGTATTAAGGTACGATTGTCTTTTATGGCCGTTTCCGGATTTCCAGAGCAAATGTTACAGGTTAGGCAATATACGGCTGATTCAGAGTAGCATGTTTATAACAAAGTTTTATAGTTGAAACAACTATCACTTCAATTTACTTACAGCAAGCAGAAAAGCTGAAAGTTAATAGTGCATACAATGAACATTAAAAAAACATTTAGTTTCGCTCTTTTATAGTATTTAGCGATCCTAGATCGTTTTTTTTTCTTGAGATTGTAACATATTATGGGACTAAAACTTACTTTATTGAAAATATGTCGGTATAAAAATGTAGGATGCTCTCATATTTACAAAACACACAGACCAGAGATTCGCTCAAAGACAAAAAAATATAAATTTATTTATTTGACACAGGTAGACCATACTATCGCAAAGAATTTGTCGTGACAATTGAATTTAAGTTCGTTTAGCAAAAGACAGTTAGTTGCTTGAGAATAAAAGATAAATTCAAAAAATGAATTTCGTGTTTTATTTATTAGTAAGTACAGTGGATATAAATTAGGAGCAAAATTGATAAACTTTAACATACTGTAACCTGAGGGGTTATTTCTTCATTCATCTATCTACCGTTATGACCAGTATCATAACGATATTAACTTGTAAAAGAGTCTACTATTTAATTCTCAAAAGGGAGTTTATAATTATCATTACACTTTAATTAATACTTGAGAACTTAGAAATGTTGTACGTTCAGAGAATGAATACCAGACACTTACCATATGTCGCTTATGTACAAGTAAATCCAGTGGTTGGTTGTATAGGGTGCCACTTAACTTCGAAGAACAAGAAAGAAACACCATAACTTCCAGGAAGGGTTTTAATAACAATAAAAACAAAGCAAACAATCAAAATAACGACACAAAGGGCTCGAACAACATTATTAATTAATTTATTGACATGCGACAGCATACCGAGATTCAGGGAAAGCGCGAGCAAAATTGGGAATGACTATCCATTATTAAATTAACCCGAGACTCTAAAACTAAGTAGACTGCTCAATGTGGAACCCAAGGAAAAACTCCCTGTTTTTCGGAGATTTCTCCTGAATTCGACACCTCGCTTCAACACGCCCATTTCTTGGGTCCAGACGTTTATGTTCTTATAAGATAAGAAAGTTCCCGCCAGTAAGAGGCGGGAACTCTGAATATCGGAACGCTTTGGCATAACTATGCCATGTTAATCATTATCTAATTGACTGATTTTTACAATTGTCTAAATAATTTTGAGACTAAACTTACAAACAACAAACAACCCTATACCTTCCTCTTGTGACTCCGCATAGCAATACGGGACGGATTAGTCAATCTCATTTAATCTATCCTTATAGCTTGCAAAATCCGCCAAAAAAACAGCTATTATTATTTTCCTGACAACATTCTAATAACTTATTCTTAGAATTCCTACGTGTTCTTTCGATGCATAACTCAAGAATGGTATATCAGTTAAATTTATTCAGATTTAAATTTGCATACAGCAAGTCGTGGCTTCTATACAATTTATTGGATATTGAATCGATTTAACACTCTCATCAGGTACTAGACCCTGGTTGCGAGAGTCTCTAGCTTGATAGGAGACCGATCGCATCGTTTTTGGAATCTCGAGGGGCGGATTCGAAACATCCGCGAAATGTTATTCGGATCCTATTTTCTTCTCAGTGACTACGAGTGTTGTAGCGGTCTGTCATGGATACATTTGAATTAGGAATATTGGTTTTGAGCGTTTCAGCTTATGGATTCAAAACCTAGTCGTTTTACAGTGCACAGATAGCCGATAGAATGACTTGGTTTGCTGACCTTGATGATCAAATATCGAATGAACTCATCTGGTTTACTGATGAGTCCAAGGCGAGGAAGGCTCGGGGGCAGGTATCTGTGACATGTCAAGAAGAGAACTTGTTTTATCCTCTGAGGAAGTACGCCACGGTAATCCAGGTCGAGACATTGGCTATATCTGCTTGTGCAGAAGAAAATCTCAAAAAAGATATAAGAATAAGCATATTTAAGTCTGCAAAAGTGTGCTCTGTCCCTGTTGAAGTGGGAATTTGACCTGGGTTCCTGGTCACAATAACGTATCTAGCGATGAAAGGGCTGACGCGTTGGCAAGACAGTGTCCAAATACTACTACTATTATTTATGTAACCTGAACCAGTACTACGGCTTCCGAAATGTTATGTAAAAGGATCCATTAATAATTGGTTCCAAGATAGGTAATTGGAAGAATGATCAAGTGGATCCAGTATGCGACAGGCTACATTTCTCATAGAGGGTCCATGAGCTAAGCAAATTGGAAGATAAGTTTGCTCAGCAGAAGTTGTTGTGGGATTCTCACAGGACTTCTAATGGGTCGTGTACATTTAAACTAACATATCAATAGAATTGGTCTCGAGATTCAGGTCATGAAGTCGAGGATTCCATACATATCCTCTGTCACTATGTCTGCTTATTGGTAAAAAGACAACACAAACATCTGGACCTCTGGACATTAGAGAGATTTCAGCAGAGCTAATGCTTAGGCAAGCACTGCACTGCATTGCACGCACGGGAAGACTTGCACGAAGCACGAGCCTATTTTAGAATAACTCTTTCTAAGACCTGACTGCTGCTGGTAACTGTGCCGCCTTCACAACAACAATCGCATTTAGTATCTCCGCAACTGCCACATTATATTATTTCTCCCATGTAGTAACGTCGGAGAAACAATAATCAAAAGTGCAAATCTATCTCTTTTTTCAATCAATGACTTCAGATGAGAAATATCGATGGATCACGCAGTCCATGAATGGAAAACATCATTTCAGGACAATGGAATTTGCCTGTGTTATAAATTATAAAAAAATAATGATAACAATATTTGTTTCTGTATTAAAATATGTTAATCACTGTCACTCTCAAAATCAACTAAAACTGAACAGTTATTTATTTCTTCTTCGTGCTAGTTCAATTATTTATTGTTTTCTTTTTCTCTCCATTCCAGGTCCAGTGTACACTTTCTTAGCTTTACTATTCAGTCTCAACAGCTGCGTGAATCCTTGGATTTATCTGGCATTCAACAGGGAACTGCCAAGACTGCTTCTTAGACATTACACCGCCCACACTAAGAATTACAGGACAGCAGCTGGAGGTAAGATTATTAATGTAATAACGATTATTGCACGTTATCCTTGTTCTTTACTGCTTCAACGTTTATATAAAAATGTGTTATGTTAGGAAAGGACCATCTGATGCGCACATTTTCATGAATAATTATTTTCTATGAGTCCATTCGGAGTTACGGAAAATGTTCTCTTCTGATAACTTAACACAGATATTTATTCTTTCCACAATATCTCAGCTGATTCATCAAATAATTTTATCGTTTTGCTTATTCCTAAAATAAATAAAAGCTTATTGTTATCACTATAGAAGAGTACGGAAAAGTAAGTTGCTTCCAATACAGTACAAACAACTGTTTTTCTAGTTAAGAGTCACCATTACTAATATTTTTAATATCGGTTGTATCTTAATTCCTACTTTCTGCTGAAAAATTTTCTTTACGGTTTTAGTTATATCATTAAAATTTGTCTTTTAACAAAACAACTTTATGTTGTTTTTATAGTTTTGTTTAAATTTCATTCCCGTTATTCTAACTGATACATTTCAATTATTATTTTCAGTGATATTTACAATTATCCTTTTTAGAAGAATAAGTAAAGGTATTTAAATAAAAGCAATCAAATTCTCACACCCTTAAGGGGAATTTTTTAAATTTTATTCAATTATAAATTTTGTGGATTTGGTTGAATTATCCAATTTCAGAATTATTTAATATAGAAAAATTTAAAATTTTCGGTAAAATTCAGAAAAAAAGTTCAACGAATTACCCACAAAGTTCTTTAAAACTCATTCTGTATCTTCTAAAAAATTAAAGGCATGTATTCATGTAAGAGAATATAATATGGTCACTTTATTTAAAGGAAGGGATGATTTTCTTCAATATACCGTGTGTCCCGTTTTTCAGGTTAACCACTCTGGAAATGTGAGAAGGCTTTGGACGTTTCGCAAACCAATTTTTTACAAATAGTACCCTGATGGGAGGTTATATTCTAATTGCTCATTTTATTGATGTGACAAAAGCCTGGCCTACTACGATTTTTTAAAAGGGTTGTTTTTCCAGAAAGTGGTATTAGGCATTTTTTTATCAAAAAGATAATATTACCAGGCTATTCAACACCCACCAAAATACCCATATACCAAATTTGATTGACAAATGCTTACTGAGTGTTCTTTTATAGGGTGCCAAACTTCGAAAGACAACTAAACATTGTAATAAGCATGTCAAAGACTGCCATGAAAGTGAAAACAAGTACCAATCAGACAAAGAAAAAACACATACAATATAAATTTGGCACATTTAATTGCGGCCACAGTAAAAATAATAATTAACGTAGTAAAAATGTAATGAATTATAAATACTAAGTTGTTAAACAAAAAAATTGCAAAACGATCTAAATTAAATTTTAATTTTCTCGACCAAACTTCCTTCCAGTCGAACACATTTTTCCAATCGTCTTCTTAAAACAAATACTTTACATAGCTATACATTATGTAAGGAATATTCTTCCATAATTGGAAGATATTCTTACGTTATGATAGTAGTTTACCAATTATACTGAATTAATGAAATAATTTTAAAAATGTTTTAAACAATAATTGACATAATACTATGATGAATGACGTTTAACTGATAAGTTAGTGTTATAAAGTAAGAATCTCTTGCAACCATGGCAGAATATTTATCTTTACAGGAAAAAATAGAGATTATTAGATTAAGGGGTGAAAATTTCCGTAATTTTTCTTCTCAAAATATCAGATTTTGGAATGAAAATAATCCTAATTTTGTAATTGCAGCAGTATTCCCAGAAAGTTAATGTGTTTTGCGGAATTTCAAAGCACAGGTGTAATAGGTCCCTTCTTTTTTTAAAATAACTTAAATGGTGAAGTATTTCTTCTCTTTATAAATAGTGAATTATGGGGCATTAGGTATACAGGATATTCTTTTAATGGAAAGAAGGAATATTTATTTACAGATGGATGGAGCTCCAATCCACAACACTGTCGCAATCATTAACTGACTTAATCACCAGTTTCGAAATAAGTGGATTGGGAGAAGGAGTCCAATAGTACAATGGCCACCAAGATCCCCTGATTTGATACCTATGGCCTTTTACTTTTGGGGATTTTATAAAACAAAAAGTTATAAAAACAGACCAAGGAATTTGGATGACCTAAAGAGTAAGCTAAGCTTGTGCAGAAATTATTCCACAGCAGCAATGTAAAGTGTTTATAAATTTAAGAAGAGATTGGAAAAATGTGTTCGATTAGAGGTCTGGTGGAGAAAACTAAAATTTAATTTAGATTGTTTTGCAATTTTTTGTTTAATAACTTTTTCTTATTAATTTTACCGTGGCCGCAATTACAAGTGTTAAATTTACATAGCCTGCATTTTTTCTTTGTCCGATTGGTACTTGTTTTCACTTTCATAGCAGTCTTTGACCCTCTTATTATAATTTTTAGTTGTCTGATTTTTCGAAGTTTGACACCCCATAAAAAAACTCTCAATTGACATTGGTCGATCAAATTTGGTATATGGGTATGTTAATGGGTGTTGAATTACCTGGAAATATTATCTTTTTGATAAAAAAAATGCCTAATACCACTTTCTGGCAAAATGACCCATTTAAAAAATCGTAGTAGGTCAGGCTTTTGTCGCATCATTAAAATGATTACCTACTAAAATATAACCCCCCTTCGGGGTACTATTTGCAAAAAATTGGCTTGCGGAAAGTCCACAGCCTTCTCTTTCATAACCAATTTGCATTTAATATTGCGCGAATCTGTATACAGGGTGTCTCATAATTAGCAGCCAACCCTGAACAGGCCGATTCTATGATCAAAACTAAGTAAAAAAGTTCATATGAACATGGGTCCGGAAATGCTTCCTAAGGGCACAGGGACCCATTGAAGAGGGAGGAATGGAAATCATTTTTTTGCAATATCTCTCAATCGCGTTGTGATAAATGAATGAAATTTGGTATACACAGCTAAATTTTGATGAGCAATTTGACTAATCCATTTATTTCCACAAGGTCCATTGGGGAGGGTACGGGGAGGGGGGGCTTGGTACTTTGCGTGTGTAACTTTTTCATCTTTGACTTTTTAACAAATTGGACAACAAATTCCGTTTTCCCGAACTGTTTTACGTTAAAAAGGTACTCTTGTTTCAAATCGTTATCTTTAACGGTTTCTGAGAAAATCGCTCTTGAATTAATCCCACTTTGGTCAATTTCATAGTAATTTAAACAAAAAATTTTTGTGTTTAAATTTAATCTAATTTTAATAAAAAAGTAATAATAAAAAATTAAATTGAATAAAAATTAATCCTTTAAATGGAAAAGAGAGGAAAGGAAAATTATTATTATTATTTGTTTAAATTAGGTACTATGAAATTGACCAAAGTGGGATTAATTCAAGAGCGATTTTCTCAGAAACCGTTAAAGATAACGATTTGAAACAAGAGTACCTATTTAACGTAAAACAGTTCGGGAAAACGGAATTTGCTGTCCAATTTGTTAAAAAGTCAAAGATGAAAAAGTTACACACGCAAAGTATCAAGGGCTCCCCCGTACCCACCCCAATGGACCTTGTGGAAATAAATGGATTAGTCCATCAAATTGCTCATCAAAATTTAGCTGTGTATATTAAATTTCATTCATTTATCACAACGCGATTGAGAGATATTGCAAAAAAATGATTTCCATTCCTCCCTCTTCAATGGGCCCCTGTGCCCTTAGGAAGCATTTCCGGACCCATGTTCATATGAACTTTTTTACTTAGTTTTGATCATAGAATCGGCCTGTTCAGGGTTGGCAGCTAATTATGAGACAACCTGAATAAATTTCATTTAACCCTTCAGGATTAATGGTATATACAGGGTGTCCCGATTTTTATAGCCGACAATTCAGGACTCTATAGAGGAACTAAAAATACTTTGCTATATATACATCTTGCTATATAAACTCAAAAGCCCTGTTTTTGAGATACAAGTTGTGAAATTTAAGAAAAAGTTGAATCTTTAAATATCTGAACAAATGAAGATATTGATGAAAATTAATGATGAATGAAATATGCATAACACATGAGAAAAATGGCAATCAGCCTGAATAAATTCAAACTCAACTCGAACGGTAGCGTAAATATGAGGTGTGCTGGTTATATTTGCAAACCACTGTATATTTTATAATTCCCGAAATTCAAATTTGTTTTAAATTTTTTGCATAGCCTTTATCGTTTTAGTAAAAATACAGGATGTAGAATTAATTTAAAAAAGTAAACAAAATATTTTCAAGATGCTGTCGCTGTATCTCAAAACACTTTTAAATGCGTCTCTAAAAAGTCCAGCATCTGCTGATACTTTTTTGAAAAGTACACTTTGTATTTCACATATCAGCCAATAAAATATCTAAATTTGGACAAGGAAACGTATCTCTTTACAACATGCTAATTAGTAGTAAAAATTATGTAAAAAATTCCGAAGATCATTTTCATCCAAGATAAAATATCATAATGTGTGAGAAAAATTTAACCAGATTGTCTTATATATATATATATATATATACGACTACGACTCTAACTTCCTTATTTTTTGACCGATTTAAAACATTTTTTTTTAGAATGTAGGACGCGTTTTTTTGACGTCAAAACAGCTAATTCGTATTAGCGATGTTTTTTTCCAAAAAACAGGTCACTGGGCATCCTTTAAAACGTCTCATCACCAAGTTTCATTAAATTCGATGCACCTTCAGACGAGCACTAGTTGGCCTTGTATTGCAGTGATAAAAAACAGTCGTAT